TGTAGAGAGGTCATCCCTACCTCGGAGGTCAAATAATACACTAAAGTAGCAGCATGGGGGTTGAAACAAGTGTCCCTTGTATGTAGAGAGGCCGTCCCTATCTCGGAGGGTCCCCTATCGGAGGTTCCACCGTGTAATGCAAGTGTTGTAAATAGTTGGAATTATAGGGTTGTTACCCATCAGGTTCCTCTGGACTGATGTAGACTTTGTGGCAGGTACAAAGGTACACACAGAACACATCCACAACCTGTAAAAGAGGATGATTGAGAGGAATTGTATGAAGTTGGAGCCTGTCCTATATTACTAATGCCTCTATATCAATGCCAGCGAAATATTTTTTCAAAATGATGTGGAACTCCACATGGTTATGGGTGTAGATGGCTGTAGGTTGAATAGATGGCTGATGGCTATATATGTAGCTTTACCAGGGAGACCCAGAGGAGACAGCTATTTTGAGATCCAGGCTAAAAGTGCAGAGAATCGTTGATGATAGACAGACAGTATAGCTATGCACGCAATGTGTGTAGTTCCAGCACATTTTTCAGTTTTTGCACACCACCGTATAATTCTAGCTCTGCAGCTGGAGTAGATAATACTCACGTTGCAGTTCTGTTGTTTCCATGTGCCTCTCTTCTGAGTAAAACCGGCTTACTGGACTAAGACCTGCACCGTTACAACTGGTTGCACCTCTCTCTTACACATCAAAGCGAAACAACAATTCTAGTGGGACATTATTGTGTCAAAAATTTATATTTTACTTTCTACTTTTACTTTAGAATACACAGTGCAATGTTGAAACTGTCAAAACTTTTACAGTCTTTGTATGCAGCTAATCCACTACAAGTCATTTACATCCCCATCAGTGGTGCTGCGTCTGGGAGCCTTTGGTAACCTCCACGAACGAACCGATTCACAGCACGTACACAACCACTACAAAAGTTGTTGCAGGGACAGAAACGAAAGCAAGAGACATAGTGGTTTCTAATGTACTTGACACTGGTATACACTGCCCAAGAGAACACCAAAATGTGAGAGATAAGAGGAATGACGACCAAGGTCAGCTCTAGTCCTTCTGTTCCAACAGTCAGATCCATCCAACGAGACGATTCAAAGCTGAGAACACCTATCATAAAGGCATGATAGCTGAGTGAGAAGTTTGCAAGGGTCGACTTGCATGGCCTCACATATGCCACCACCAATGACAACGCAAATGACAGATAGCCTGTAGTGCAATCCCTAGAGTAACCAGCGTTGTGAAATGTCTTCCATGTGATGTATGTCACCAAGCCTTCTGCAGGAAGGACTAGTATGATGAGTCCAGCAAGAGCTCTGTAGTCTCGAGTGCCGTTCAGACCATCTTTGAAGCAATTGTGCAGAGCTTCAGCAAATGCGGTGATGGCCAACTGTTTTCTGGCACTGATGAGTTGTGAGAGTCGACGATATATCCTTGTTGGGTAGACACAGAGTAACAAGGCTGGGATGAGCACCAGAAATACACACGGCACTAGTGCTATAAAAATATATACAATATGTTCGTGACTGCCATAAATTATGGTGGGATCAAAGTACAAAACGGTCTCGTGTGGTCTGGCAACCTTGTTGGTTGAACTGACGAAATGAATTCTGGAATATGGGTCAGTGAACTCGCATTCAGTATAAGAGTTGTAGAAGATAGGAAAATGAATGTTGAAAACGTATGTATTATGGCATTGCCAACACTGAATTGTGTGTTTTTGAAGATGAATCCAAAGGGCTTCCAAAGGAAAAGGATAATTCTGCAGTTTCTTGCATAGAGCTCCATCAGAATACAGATAGTGAAGATTAGTATAAAAACATATATGGCAGGGCAGTAAAGTTAGGAGCTGAATATGCACAGTGCTTAGTCTTTTCACTGATACAGAATGGTGGAATAAGTGACCTAAAGAACAAAAGCGTCCACAACTCAGACAAGGTACGTGAAACATGGTACAGGATGTTTAAAGTGTTGGAAGCAAAACTCTGGCAAAATATAAAGGAACGTTCATTTCCATAAGAACCCATAAGGAGATGGAACTGACAGAAGAGGAAGTACCCAAGCAAAGGACCTGATGTGACATTTACACGGAATACAACTGAACACACAAAAAACAAAGTAGTTGGAACAATATCAATTAAGAGGTAGAGAAAGATGCTAAAACCTGTTGAGAACCTTGAGCAGTTGACACATTTCAAGTCAAGTGAATAAGCAGGTGGACCGTATCCATCAATACACTTGCCACACAGCAAACCTTCTCTGTTGTAAGGTCCACACATGGTGGCATTTAGCTTGCCAGGATCAGAGGGTAGCTCAGACCAAAGTCTGTTAGTGGTGTTCCTCCAATTGCCCATAGTCAGTCGACACCTCCCGGCATTATAGCTGTCATTAGTCACACCAGTCATCAGACAAACTCCATTAGAAAGATACGTTCTGTTTTCCAGCTGATTACATTGTATGTATTGATACCACACAAGAAGTTCATCACATTCACACGTGTTGGTGGTGGAGTTGTAGTAAAACGCAGTAGGACAGCTGGTATTACTGGCTCCCAGCACCAGGTAGACAGTCACTGGTAGAAGAAGACTGATGCAACACCAGGTAGTAGTCGGAGAACCAGACATTGCAGTCAACACTGCGAAACTCTAGTACAATTCAGAGCTATAGGCACTGTCACTGTTGTGAAAATCGTTGAAAAAAAAAAAAAACCAAACCAAACCCAAAAAACCACTTGATCACAGTTCGAAACACATCTGCAACAGCAATGGATGCTATTTTCTCTTAGTAGGTCCAAGAAAAAACTTTCAGTCAAGTAGTACAATTTTTGAAGCATATGCAGATCACGTGTGTGGACATACCTTGCCCCATAGCCACTGCGTAGAACAGATGGTCTAGATGGTAGTGTGCTGCGTTGTGAATCCCACCGGCGCCACTTTTTTCTCTCTTTCTTTTTAGCATTTTCTAATCTCATTAATTTTCATGGTGTAGCCACTACCGCGGTGCAACGTGTTATGTCTGAAAACCCACTCCATACCTCTTTCTTTTTAGGGGGGGGGGTGACTGAAACATATTAACAAACTCAGTGGTAAAGTACCCTGTGTTAAAGAACTGAGTAGGTGATGTTAGAGGCCACACTCAATTGTGATGTTCGCAATGGTGGCCCAAAGAACTCTCAAAACGACAGCATTTGGAGAGGTCGCTCTCCAGCTAGTTCCAGCTAGCCAACGAGAGTGACAGATCCTTTAGTCCACTGACAAACAGCAAAAAAAGAGAGAGGTGCTGATATAGAGAGTTGCACAACCCCCCAAAACCCACATTTCTGTGATGCATAAACTCCATTGTATACAAGTAAATGAAAACTAATACGTAGGGACAGTACAAAAATGGACACTAGGGATGACCTAGTGCATGTGATGCAGTTCGATCCATATACTGACATTGCTTGCTTAGGTTAAATTTCTCTTCACGCAAACGCCTTGCGTATATCATCACCACTTTTAGATAAAGAACCAACTTCTGTCAGGATATCAAACTCAATCAGTTGCTACAAGCCCCACATAAAAGCTCAATTGCCTTCAACATCCCTCTAAAGGCTGTGTTTCAGCCTATCATGGCAGAATAGCAGCCACATTCACACACAGACCAAGTACTGTAACCCGCATTTCATATTCATACAAAGATTAACAACTAACTCAGAGATAATTGTGTCACTAGGCAGGGTCTCGGAGTAGATGATATCCCCACTGGGCTCCAGCTGCCACCCAGATATCACTCCTGGCTGCTTGGATGAGATCATGTGGTACCTGAACACACACAAACACACAAACACACACACACACACAATATTAATAGATCCCTCTCCCCTTTCCTTTACACCCTCTCTCCCAGTATACATATCTATCTCTGTTAGCTTTCCCTCAAAACTTGTGCTGCATAAACCACAGCTGCTAAAAGGAGGGTCCAAAAAGGGAGGGGCCATTTGTGTATTCATAGCTAGCTAGCTCACGTGTACAGCCATGTGCCAGTTTTCATAGCCAGTATATATATACAGTAGCAGCAAGGGAGAGAGAACTTCAGGTATATATAAAAGCTACTAAAATACTCTAAGGGTAACCCATGGGAAGTGCATGATGAAAGAATAGAAAGGTCTTTCATCAGTACTAAGAAAGAAAGAAGCCCAAGAATAGTCTCAGACATAGTGTGATATCTGGACTCCAACAAAAAAGGTGGAGTGGCCTCGCCCCTTCGGGAGTGGGCTGTATGTCGGGGATATTAAAGAGGCCGAAACACGCAGTTCACAATGAACGAACGGGAACTCCCCTGAAGACCAGAAGTCTAGGCAATATAATAGCTCTAAGCGAATGTTTTGACCACTCGCCCTTGTGTGGACAAGTCGCTGCCTGATCTTAATAATCCTCATTCCAAAACACACACACACACACACACCACAGTAGACAGCCTGAAGCTACGTTTTTAGCTTTGGCACATGTTGTTAGATACACAAACATGTACTACTGCACTGCATGGCGGACTCTTTGGGGGACATTTGAAGTGTTCCTTATGCAGAGGCATTCCTTGTTCAGAGGTAGAAAAATACACTAATATATTATTAGTACATGGGGCAGAACAAATGTCCTCTATAGAGAGGTGTTCCTTTGCTCGGAGAGCCATTTTCAGAAGTTTCAGTGATGAAATATGTTACTTTGACTCACATGAGTTTCTTGTCGTCTCTCTTCCTGAAAGGTTGGAAGGGGAGTCGTCCGGTGGCTGCGTGGAAGAATGTGGCACCAACACTCCACAGGTCAACCTGCAGTCAAAATAATCAACAAGACTGAATATATACAATCATACATTTCTACAGTTGCGATGGAGCTACACTATTTACTAATAATGACTGACAAAGGATAAAGAACCCACTCATTAACCGTGCGCATGTGCAGAAAGGGCTACAGTACTGCCAGTCAGTCAGTGTGTGCGAGTGTGTGGGCGGGTGTTTATGGCTACAGGCTACAAACTGGCCTATATATGTAGAAGCAACACCAATGGCTCCAGAGTGTACAAGAGCATGAAAAAGCTTTAAAAGCTTTGTTCTAGAGTATGGCGTTAAAACAATTAAACATGCATAATCAGCAATGGATGTGTTCAGTGCACTGTGTAGAGGGAAAGTTACACAGAGGACGAGTATCCAGTCTGCAGCGTTGCTCTAAATGCTACCTACTCATGGAGCTATGAAGCCTGTGTTTGAGCAAGAAACTGGCTCTGGTGATGGGTAAGACAGCATGGTGTGGCCCATCCATTAGTGATGCCTGTGCATATCAACACGCAGGCATTTCTATGGCACCGACGGTCTGCACTTCAGTGCTTTTCATCATTGTTTTGAATATTGAAGGCATTTTAAGACTGTTTTTCTTTCTATTTCACCTTAAAAGCTGAATTTCCCTACCAAGAGAGTTAGGAACATTTATCAAACATTAACTATAGTGTACATGTAGTTGTGCCCAAGGACACTTTCAATTTTACTGTTGATTGAGACTTTGGCTGCTATACACACACAACTTCCAGCGACACAGTTTCGACACAGTGTGCTCAACAAAACTCACTGACAGAACACAGGAAATGGGTACAGTACTTACTGTTTCTACATAGTGCGCCTCAGCTAGGGTTTGAACTCTATTTCTTTTCATTTTATAGCAACACCAAAAACTCCTCCCAACAAAACTTACTGACAGTGCATAGCTAATCGGTTGGTACGTAGACTGTTTATAGTGCGCCAAAAGTTTGCACTTCACTGATAATGTGGGTATCTACAAAAAGATCATCTTCACTGACATTGTGGGTATACAGCAGAACCTCTCATAAGGGACCCTCCGAGATAGTGACGACCTCTCTACAAAGGACACTTGTTTCAACCCCGTGCTAATACTTTAATGCACTATTTGACCTCCAAGATAGGGACTACCTCTCTATAAGGGACAAATCATTGGCCCCATAGTGTCCCTTGTTAGGAGGTACCACGGTATTCCTACAAACCCCAATCCTCAGACCTGGGCAAAGAACTTATGTCTCTTGCTGGGGTTGACCAGAGCCCTCTCGTACATCCCAGGATAGAGGTACTCCTCCGTCCCGTGGAGAGAGATGAACGTCTCGTCTGCTCGCAGCTCACGAGCCGTCCCAAAGTCTGCCAGCTTGAAGACATAGCTGCAACATTGGAACAAGGACAGTGTGGCGATGTTAATGTGGGGCAGCGATTGAATAAGTCCCTAGCCTATAGTCGACCCAACCTT